TACGCCCTCCCCCCCCCCCGAAGGAGCTGTAACTGCCGCCTTAAACTTGTGCCCAGATGTCGCAGGCCGTGATACGCTAACACCGTTTCTCACTGTTGCTTTTAAATCTATATATTGCTAAGCCATGCCAACATAATGAGATGCTGATGCTAGCCTGCCTGTCACTGCTGTGACTCTGCCTCCTCCCACTTCTCTCCCAGGAGCCTCTGCTACCTGTGCCGTTTCTCATAGCTCGCCTCCAGGCTTTCTCCTCCCTGCCTCACGCTTGAGCAGTGTTTCTTCTCTTCCCCACGCCCCTTCTCCCTGTGCTCCCCGAAGGAGCTGTAACTGCCGCCTTAAACTTGTGCCCAGATGTCGCAGGCCGTGATACGCTAACACCGTTTCACTGTTGCATTTTTAAATCTATATATTGCTAAGCCATGCCAACATAATGAGATGCTGATGCTAGCCTGCCTGTCACTGCTGTGACTCTGCCTCCTCCCACTTCTCTCCCAGGAGCCTCTGCTACCTGTGCCGTTTCTCATAGCTCGCCTCCAGGCTTTCTCCTCCCTGCCTCACGCTTGAGCAGTGTTTCTTCTCTTCCCCACGCCCCTTCTCCCTGTGCTAGTGGCAGTCCCCTCCCTTCTCAGCAAAGCTCCGAAGCAGAGCTGTCTGCATATGAATCCCAGCGTACAGGCTGGAGGGTGGGGGGGTGTATTTCAGCAGAAAGCGGGAGGGAAATGGTGGGGTTAGGCTTGCCAAATTCTGCAGCTTCCACTATTGGCAGAGTCCGTCCAGGAACAGATTCCTGCTTCCTCTCCTGTGAAACCAAACCAGCTGGGGAGCAGTAGCATAGGAGAGAAGGAGCTCTGCTTTCTTTCAGAGGCTCCCATCCCCAAACTCTTTTGGGGGTTTTGGGGGTGTTTTTTCAGTTTTTTGGGCACGGGGTCAGTATTATCATACTGTTAAGATAATACTCTCAGTATTATGAATGAACAGAATGTGTCCCTGCTTACAGAGCACAAGCGTGCTGCAGGACAATGTTTAATATGTTTTTTTTTGTTACGGAAGAGCTTGGGCTTAGATCAGGAGTAGCACTGTGGCTGCTTAGCCTCGTCCTTGTGAAGCAGCGGTGTTACCAACCCCCTTTACCTACCCCTTAGGATTTCTTCTGAGACAATGCAATCACTGCCCCACATGAAGTCCTGGAAACCACTGCCACACATGCCGCCAGACTGCTGACATTCCCCGTGGCAAGAAGGTAACCTTCTGCTGCACCTCTGACACGGCTTTAAAAAATCAGCACTGAAATGAGGCATGCTTAATCCCTCAAGGTATACGTACGCTTCTCCTTCATATCAGTAAGTGGTCTGACAAACTGCTACCACTCATCAGTTCATTCAGTACTGCTTCATGTTGCGTAGCTAATATGCCAGAATGCATACAGATAACGCTGGAATCCGGAGTAGTAGGACACATCACAAGTGGCATGTTTTCAGTCTTTCTTCACACCTATTTCCAGACTTGGAGTTTGTTCTGAAGGTGTGAAGGGGACTGCTAGGTCACCCGCGCTGACCTGAATTGCAAAAGCTGGAGAACTCAGAGTTATTCTGCTGGGGCAGGGTTTTTTTTCTTCTCGTTATGTTTCGTATTTCGTTTGAAGACTTGGTGATGGTGGATCCGATGCTTTTCTTAGCAAATGGTTAATGATTTGTTGCCCTCACAGACCGACTCTCAGATGTCGTTGCTACTGTTGCAGGAGGCAGAATGGATTTTGCTGTGTGGTTGCAGAGGCTTACATCTGATTGCGTTGTGTTTTGACAAGAAGATGCCTCTGGGTAGTTTAATTTACATCAAGAAAGTTTTAGGGTGCTTTTATTCTTGTTGTGAGTGTAGAAAACACTTCTTGTTAACATGGAGAATGCATTTTCAGAAATTCACTTTTCTTTTTGGAGAACCAAAATATTTGAGAAGTAATCGCATTGTATTATAGGGTCTAAAGCTATGCCTAACCAGGGATAAGGCCACCAGTGCAATCTTTAGTTTCCAAATCTTGATTCTCTGATCTGTTCTTATAGCTAAAATTAAAAAAACTACATAAAACTAACCAAGGCAGCCAGCTCTGTTGCTTATTTTATAAATTTGACAGTGCTTGAACTTCTGGGTTTTTTACTTTTGCAAAGTGCCTTCAGAAGATAATTCTTTTTAAAGCAAAAATCAAGCTATCTTTTTCAAAGCGATTAGATCCGGTACTTTTTTTCAACTAAGGAGTCATGGTAACACTTTTGTAAGGGAGCCAAGGTGCTGTTGCAAGTAGAAATATAAAATGTAGGCTTTTTTTCATAATTATGCAACACAATCTCCAAGTTCTATATTTAGATCTCTAAACTAAAAACCAGTTTATATTACTGTGTCCATAACTGAAAAGATAAAATTTTGATCTTGTTTTCTTAAGGTGGTTTGGTTTTTTTCGGTTGCACATCTAGCTGCTTGACTTCCTCGTGGTCCGCACCATTTGAAAGATGCCAGTCATGCTTCTCAGCCCCTGAGGCTGTGGTTGCCTGTCCAGTCAGAAGGATGGTGGTCGCCCATTGTTCCTATTTTGGGTGATATGAGAATATCGCTAGGTGGATAATACGTCATGTATCTGATATGCCAGTCTTCCAAAACTGTAAGCATAAATGTTTAGTCTAAAGCATATAGTTTCTGACATGGACAGAAATCACAGGAAATGCAAGATATTGCAGCTGCCCTCTTTAAATTCTGGTAATGACTAAGCAGTCTTCAGTTTCAGTTTCGTCTTGCAGCTTTAATCCAGTTATGTGTATAATCTTGTGAAAGTGTCTCTTTCCCCTGAGATGTGAGAAGTTGTATTTAGAGCACTTTTGACTCAGAAGAGATACAGTTCTTGAGTTTGCTGATGAAATGGCACAATTTAACTTTTAAGGAGGGGTCATGCTCCTCCCCTGATAAGCATCTGTAAATAATAATTTGTGATGGCTGTGCATGGTGTGACCGATTTCCTTTTTGGTTGGACCAAAGAGCGCATAACAGTTCACCAGTAATTTGGGATTGTTAGTAATGGATTGGCTCCAAATTTGGGGGAACTTGTCTAGTTGTTGGGCCATTAAATAAAAGTTGTACATGACTGGACATCTCTGGAAAAGAAAAGCCAGTCAGCTATGGGCTGCATTCTTTTGAAAGATGTTGGGTGTTTGTCTTGTACAAGGGAAAGTGCATTAATGACTGTAAGAACCCATGCTAGAAATGCCTGCCTTGAAGATGATCTTCAGTCTTCTCCATTTGGGTCGTCTTTTATGAGGTGACTGTCTCCTGCCATCTCTCAGCAGAAGTTTAATTTCTAGCCAGATTTGAGAAGGTGTTTGTGCAGTAGTTCCTAATTGGCCTACCTTAATGACCTACTTCCAGAAGGTTATTTGGACTTTGTTCCAGATCCCCCTCAGGCTGCAGCATGCCTTCAGTTCAGTCAGGCCACCTCAGTGTTTTTCCAAGACTCTACAATTCACAATGTACAATTAAAAATCAGAATCTTATTTTGAGAGGCAAAAATTTGTAGTTGCATTGCCTGAATCAAGTTAAGGACTTCTGACACTCACTTTTATGGCTATATGCCTGAGGCTTACAACTTAAAAACCAAGTTATGAATTGCTTGTGTGATGAAGGTACATTCATTTAATGAAATGAAGCTTATAAGAATTTCATAAGCCAGACCACACTCTAGTGTGTCACTCATTCAGGCTTCTGTTCGTTAGGAATGTTTTCAACTTAACCGAAATTCATAGTGTCAGTGTGCGCTGACACCACTACTTAAATTGCAGATTTAAAATGGTGCATCAGCTTGAATGGTAAAAACTTGCCTGATTTGCTGATGGCCGCTGCACTGTAGCAAGCGTATCCAGTAGTGTAGCTGGGGCTGGTTTCTTTGTAGGTTTAGGAGTCTACACGTGGGTACTGCATTCGCGGTGGAGGCATGAGTCTGGGGACCGATAGAGGAAGGCACAGCCGAAGTGATACGCAAAACTGTACTTACAGTTTCCTACTCTTACCTGTTGGAGTTATGTGTAGAGCATTCTCTACTGTTCGTTCTTATTTTTGTTCGTTATCCCGTTTTTGGCCTTCTGGAATCCCTAGATGTGAAGGGAGGAAGAGGCAAGCTGGGCTAGCGCTAAAGAGGTGGCCTGTCTATCCAGATTCCATTAATACAACTATAAGCGTTCATATATTCACAGAGGATGAGGGTGGTATGTCCTGTCATAATTCCAACTCTAAAATGATGCTTGTTTGAGGAATATAAGCAGCCCTATTTTTATCTTGTTTAGAAATTGAAAAAATTCAGAAGGGTGAAACAACAAAGAAGGATGAGGAAGAGAACTACCTGGATTTATTTTCCCACAAGAATATGAAACTGAAAGAACGAGTTCTGATACCTGTCAAACAGTACCCCAAGGTGAGGGCCAGAAAATAGCTTACTGAATCTCTGTGATTTGCTTATTTTCTATGGATTTTGTGGCTGACTTTTAGAGATAGTAGCTGTCAAAGTGTCATCAGGAGTTATGCCAGTGTTCCACTATCGCTACGGAATTTTTCCTATGCAAGCTTGCAGGATCTGATTTCTAATATATTACATTTCTAGAATGTCTGGGATAAAGCTAAATGGTGATGCATAGCTGTGATCTTTTATTACTAGAATAGATACTTTCCTAGGTAGAGCTTTGTGTTTTACAGTTAAGGACTCATTTAACTCTTAAGACTTGCTGTCTGTAAAACTACTGGAGAGCAGATGTTAGAATTAAACGCTTTACGTGATTTAATTCAGCTTGATTTTCTGGTGGAGCATTTTTTCATGAAAAGAATGTTCTGAACTTAAATTTTCCTGTGCATTTTTTGGTCTGTATTTTTTGGTGAGGTGAAGAGAAAATGGAGTGGCTAAATCTTTTGTCAGCCAGCATAACATTCAGAAAAGCTTTGTTAAGGCTACTGAGCTCTGGAGCTGTTTTTTTTTTTTCTTTTTTTCCCCTCCATTTACAGTTCAACTTTGTTGGAAAGATTTTGGGACCTCAAGGCAACACCATCAAGAGACTTCAGGAAGAAACTGGTGCTAAGATATCTGTGCTTGGGAAGGGTTCAATGCGAGATAAAGCAAAGGTAAGGGAATCACCCTTGGAAACATACGTGTTTGTTAATGCCTTCCATGTTGCTGTGAGAAGTAGTGGTTCTCAAAGCATTTTATAAAAGATTAAACCATTAAAATCCAAAAGCAAAGGCAGTAGGAAGTCACGCTTCCTAAATTGTTCTGTGCATGCTGGGAGCAATCTTGATTGGGGCAGAAGTGTGATGCATGTTTTCTTTATGAGCATGACTTAGAGACCAGTCATCTTTTGATATCCTGTACCCTTGGATGCAGAGATTGTACTTCACCTTCCATATCAACTAAGTTTATAAAGTAAGAATTAATTCCAGCTACTCTGTGAAAAGTCATTCACTACAGGAATGTTTCCCCTCCAGAAACAAACAAACAAACAAAAAACCCCTTTTTCCAGCTGTTCCCTCTGAAATCCTTATATTCTCATGGTTCACTGTAGATGTTGGAGCAGTATGTTCCTGGTAATCTTTAGTGAATCACAAAGTGCCAGGAGGCTTTTTTGAGCAGAAAAAATGGAAAGAATTTTTTTTCTTCCTGCTTACTCCCAAAACTGAGCTAACAGTTGACAGAGCTGTAACTTAATTCAGCTTTTTACTTTACAGCATGAAAAGCTTTTACACTTCTAGCTTATTTGCAGCTTCTTAAAGCCATCTGAATAACACAGGTGTCTAAGAACAGAGTTAAAGAGCAAGCTTGTTTGAGGCATTAGACTTCACTAGGTGGTAAAGAACACCTCAGGCAGAAAGGTGGTGTAGAAGAGGAAGAGCACTGCTTGCGTATGCTTCGTCTTTTGGAAAAAAAGGTGGCTGGCATCAGTGCGTTAGCAAAAATATCATAGTCGCCTGAAAAGGCAGCTATAAAAAGCTGGAAGTTGTAGATTGCCTGTGGCTTTTTATAAAACTGTATGCTCATGTGTATGTTGTTATGATCTGTGTCCAGGCATGGCCAAAACACTTTTACAGAAGTTTCCTGTTAAGGCATAGAAAAACAGATAAAAGAAAAGTAGTTTCTCTGCATCTTACTTAGTTTTAGGAATCTCTAATCTGCTTTGTTTCAGGAGGAAGAACTGCGTAAAGGGGGAGATCCTAAATATGCCCATCTAAATATGGATTTGCATGTCTTCATTGAAGTTTTTGGACCCCCTTGTGAAGCATATGCTCTGATGGCTCATGCCATGGAAGAAGTCAAGAAGTTCCTTGTTCCAGTATGTATACTGATGCTCTTTTCTTCTTGAAGGAGGTAGATGGTTGTGAATCTGGCTATAAGGTTGGGTAGAACTTGCACGGTGTAAAGTTTATGCTACAGGAATGGTGTAGTTGAGGAAGCCCTGCAGTATTAAGTGTGTGTGTGGCAGCTTAAGATGACCCCATTAATCTTGCATGAAGGCATGTATTGTTCCCCTAACCATAATTAGAAAGACATACGCTTACAGGGCAATTGTGTAGAACACCTGGAGTAGGTATTTCTCTCCCAGTACTAGCTGTGGACACTGGTGTGGGTGGGTAGCTTGTCTAGCTCCATGTGTCAGTTCTAGCGGGAGAATAGCTTTAGCCATGCCTGGCATGGAAGAGACTTCTTGGATGGGTTCCTCTGACTTGGATCTGTAGCGTAGAAATCTGGCTAGAAAACTTCATTGGTCAGATCAGAAACTCTTAAGTACGGAGATGTTTGCTCTGCTCTAAAGGGGTGGTGTGAGGATGAGGAGGGTGATTGCCCAGGCAGCTCGGTAGTAGTATTCAGTGTTGTAGTCAGTTTGAGACGCATCTGTTAAGTCAATATTTCTGTTGCTTTAAATATGGATGATGTGAAGGAACCTCTTTGCTAATCAGGCATTTATACAGATGACACTTGTTACCTGTTTGTGGGTGTCTTTTACTGGTGAACCTTGTAAGACCTTTATGGTCAGCTTCATGTCAGTTTTGTGCCAGCTGGAGTATTGACTCCAAGAACTGCAGAACTTGAAGGAGTCTTTCGCATGTTATTAAAACGATGGCATTGCTTGCTAAATTAGGAAAAAAACAAAATGGGAAAGAAGCATGCAGTGCTTCCTGCTTCTGGCTGGCTCAGCCTGTAATTCAGAGACCTGGCAGGTAGAGAGCTGGATATACCTTGGCACCGTGCTCCACAGCTGAGACTGGGAGCTCAGATGTTCTGCCTGAAATACCAGGGGCGGGTGGAACCCGAGAGCGGTGGGTAATAGGGAAGTGTGGAAAAGCGTGTGGGTACTGTGTGATTTCTGAGAGTCTGACACAGAGGAGGAGAGATTGCTATGTGAAGTGTCTTTGAAGGAAAGAGGTCATCTTCAGGGAGCCCCTGGGATGTACAAAACCTCAGCTTGCTAAAGCAAGCGCGCAGCCTTGCTATTTAAAGTGTCTTATCTATCGCTGCCTTCAAACAATGTGTTAAACTTGTGAAAATTGACAGAGAAGTCACTATGGAAGCCAGCAGCGCTGTGAAGACACATCTGATAGGAGACTCCTTGCTTTGTGGTGTTGCTATGGCATCGTGAAGATCCTCGGTGCGAGGCCCAGACCGTGTGTCGAGGGGAGGGATGGGGTACGATGGCTTCTGTGGGGTCACCAGAGGTCTGTACTAATTCCTGAAGGTAGATCCCCTGAGGCGATAAAAATGCATGGAGCCAGAAAATACTGCATTCCTAAGAATTTGAAAAGACAGCCTGGATTTGCAAATGGGTATTTGCTCTTCATCAGGCTGCATCCTGTCCTGTTCCTTCAGTGTGTTGGGAGCACAGCAGTATGTTGTTACCTTATGTAGGCTCATTGCCAGCCACTTGCCTTTAAATGGGAGCTGTAAGGTGCTTGAGGTGAGATACGTCTTGCCTGACTTCACCTCTGAACTCTCCGACATTTGCAAATAAATCTTGCTGACGTCCCTGGGATGCCGAACATCTTCAGATGCCTCCAGAACCCCTATGAGCGAGGTCCTCTTCCCAGGGACCAGCTGTAGTGCTCACTGCAGCGCTCGGACGTGCAGGTGGCGTGCCCTTCTTGGCCGGTTTGGAGAAGGCTGGCAGTTGCGCGCTGCTGCCTGCTGAGCAAATCCCAGTAAAACTAACCAGCAGATTTTAATTTAGGACTATCAGGTTATTTTTATTCCAGCATGGTAGCCTGTGATATCCTGGAGCACAGACTGGCTAGTTAGCTGTTCTTTGGAGTTGACTCTTTCCCCTCTTTAGGATATGATGGATGATATCTGTCAGGAGCAATTCTTGGAGCTCTCCTATCTGAACGGTGTACCAGAGCCAAGTCGTGGCCGAGGAGTCCCTGTGCGGGGAAGGGGAGCAGCTCCACCACCACCTCCACCTGTTCCAAGGTATCTTTCCCAAAAGCACAGACCTGGAAATGCTGCATCGTGCTCAGAGTTGTCCTGCCAGATGAGGTTAAACTACTTGTGCTTGCACATCAGCTGTTGGCCTTGACCTTGGCTTTTGGCCAAGGCTTTCTAGCCTTGTGTTGCAGGCTTGCTTTTAGCAAGCTGGCATCAATTGTTTTGTATGTTTTGAGATGTAATCTAGTGCGGTGGATGTCTTCTGTATTATTTTTGATGTCTGAAATCAGTAGCTTCATAAAGTAACCTTTCAAAAATTGGCCTACGAAATCATGTGTAGATAGATGTGTCACGTTTGCTTCTGTAGCCTTCAGCAGAATAAGCATTTTCAGTTTAAACCGACTGTCCTTTGAAAGTTATAGGATGGCATTATTCTGTCATTGCTGTCAAGGCATTGGGATAAATTGGCGATAAAACTCTGTTACTATAGTTCCTGCTTCACTACCTATTTCATGGGGGGAAAGTCTTTGCTTCCGAGTGCTTAGCCCAGAAGTGTCCCTGCTTATCTCATCATCGATCTTTACAGTTCTGGAGGTCTGGCAGTCATTACAGGTTAGAGATAGGATCGTTTAAAATGTACTCTGAGAAATTACTTGCTCGAGTTCTGTATCAGATTTATTTCTTTGTCTGTACAATATCTAATGCAGTAGAGTTCTCACCTCAGAAGAGGTTTTTGTGAATCCTGCAATACAACACTGTTAACAATTCTCGTGCTCTCATTCTTGATAAAGAATTCATGGCTTAGTTAATGGTGACTGTATTTATTTATCAAGCTATTGCCTTTTAAAGTAGGTGTAAGAAGCGTATGCACTGCCCTCAGTATTCAGCACACGAGCAGTACAGCAGTAGCTGTTCACAATCCTTTTTATCTCCCTTCCAGGGGGCGTGGTGTTGGTCCTCCCCCTCCTCCTCCTCGGGGGGCCCTTGTGCGAGGAGCCCCGGTGCGGGGTGCCATTGCCAGGGGAGCTGCCGTAGCCCGCGGAGTACCTCCTCCCCCAGCAGTACGGGGTGCTCCTGCACCCAGAGCACGTGCAGCCGGCATTCAGAGAATACCGCTTCCTCCTCCTCCCGCACCAGAAACCTATGAGGAATATGTAAGAAACTATATATCTTCTTTTTTTTTTTTTATTCCAGCTAGCTGATCGTGTGTTAGATATTCAACATTACTGAAATAAGGGCTAACAACACTAAGATTGCTCTGGAGAAGTGACCACCAGTGCAAACACTGGTACGGTGCTGTGTGACCTGCTCTGCCTCTTTAGTCCTCAAAGGAGGGAACTGCTAGTGTCCTAAATACAGGGTAAGGGGTGGTTTTTATAAAACTGAAATGTGCCCCCAAGACTGAAGTTTGCCATAACTGTCAGTGCACGGTAGAAAAACTACATCGCAGAGATTGATGTAGTTCACATCACATTCTCTTTCTGCAAGAGAATTCTTTAAGCAGGGACACCAAAGGCTTCTTACTGCCCCTAAAATCCTTAAAATAAATATCTGAATGAACATGATGATGTTTCAAGGCGTATAACTAAGCACCACCCTCCTGTCAAGCTTATCTTAGCATCTTTGCTCTTGGCATTCTAAAGGGAAAACAAGATGACTGGTTTTGATGCACAACAGCACTTTGGGGAGCCATCACAAATACTGATATTTCTAAATTCTGTTTCTCCTCTCAGTAAAACTTCTCATTTTTTCCACTGAAACCAATCTAAAGTTAATAGGTTGGGTTTTGTCTACCTGTAAATCTGTGTTTTGGATAACACAGTTACAGGCCCCCTGGCACATGGATTTGTACCGCAGACAAACTGCAGCTTTGGACATGTAAATGACTTTCAAATGCATTGTAAATATTAGTGTGGTTCATTCCTCCCAAGCCACAGGACACAAGCAGATTTTAGCTACCTATGTCTTATGATTGAGCCCCTTCCCTGTGGCAGGCAAGGATTCACAGGCTCCTCTGAAAGCTGCTGTAGCCTGAATTCAGTTTTGCCGTTACTCTTGGTCAGGCATTAACCTTTGGTCCTTCCATTAACACCGTTTGTCATCATCCGTTTCAGGGCTATGATGATGCATATGCAGACCAGAGCTATGAGGGGTATGAAGGCTACTACAGCCAGGGCCAAGGGTAAGTTTGCTTGTCTCCTATCTGTTACGGAGAAAATTATGCATGATCTTTTTTTCTTTTCTTTTAAGGGAATGGAAACACTCATTTCTGAGTTTGAGCTGTAGGGAAAGTGCCCTGTTCTGCTGGAATCCAGGAGTGCCTGGGAAATAACTTTTGGGCGTGTCCCAGCGTCCTTGACAATTCTGTAAAAGCAGCGATCAGACACACCACAGCCATGAGCAGTGTTGGGCACCTTTGCTTTTCAAGTGTTTGTGCAAGTTGTGTCAGTTTAGGAATACGATTTCAGCACTGTATGTAACCAACGTAATTACTCTTCCAGGGACACAGAATACTATGATTATGGACACGGGGAGGCACAGGAAACCTATGAAGCTTATGGTATGTCTGGGAATGCTGTTCTCTTGACAGGGAAGGGGCTGCGTAGTTGGGAATTGCTTGTGGTCGACCAGCTGTTTTCCAGTGCCACTCCACGCTCTGAGCAAAAACTGAGGAGAACCTCAAGTAGTTTTCATGGTAGAATATTTGTACCCTACAGATTATCCAGGTCTGAACAACCGAAGGCATTCTGTGGTTTTTAGATGCTTATCTAGCTTGATTGTCTCAAAGGTGACGCATTTAAAATTCCATTTTTTAACTATGGAAATATTTTTTAATTTTCCTTGTAGCTTTAGAATATTTTAAGAGCTCTGGATTTCCACCCACAGCACTACTTTTGCTGCAGTCTGGTTTTCATGGATTATATTTTGTTGAACTGGATGAGTGCATGGTTCCATCTGCTTCCTTATCCTCAAAAACCTGCTAGCTGATACTGACTCTGCACTGTGCATTTGCTTGAAAAACGGATTTAAATGTCATATGAAGGCCTCCCTTTGACTAGGTGGAACAATTTTGGTCAACGTGACTTGCAAGTATAGTCTATGAAGTTTAGCTAATTTGAATTGCGTAAAGCTATCAACTGAGGCTAGACTGAGGGGTGTGGGAGACCAATTTAACCATAACTGTGTAAGTCACCAACCGTTGAAAACAATAGGCCTTATATCTGAGGTGCTGGCAATAAAGGATTGGGTGACTGCGGCGCTTTTTTAATGCTAGTTCAGATATCCGAGCTTATGAACGGCATCTGCATGTGGCAAAGAGTAAGATTCATTTTGCTCTCTCTGTGTAAACAAGCTGAACTATACACAAGTTACGAAAGCTATACAGCGAGCTGCTTAACGGCGTGGAAATACGCTGTATTGAAAACAGCTCCCTTTAGCAGCGCATCGGTTGCCTGAAGGCGTGAATGAATGCAGGTAGTGATGATAATGACCGGCTGGAGGGGCTTTCTGGGATCCTCAGGAACTGGGAATCCCCTATGCATGTCATGCCGGTATTAGGGAAGCGGAGTTGTTAACACAGTGGCTGGCTGCTGTGCTGGCCTCGGGCTGTTCCCTGCTCTGGGCTTAAGTTGTGAGAAGTTCAAATTCAGGTGCCCGACCAGGGATGCTTTTCCAGTCTGAGATGCATTTGAATAGACAGCTGCTGTCAGTAACGTTGGCTATCTTTCCTGCCTTCAGTGGCTTGGTTTGTTGCCTGTGTTAGTCACGCAGCACAAAGAGGCTTTTGTGCCTCCTACTCGGTAGGAGAGCGGTGGTGTTGTCTGGGATATGAAGGCCAAAATGCTCATGTATACTTGGCATGAAGTTGCCACAGCTAATCTGTTTATCCACAGTAATTTCCTTTGGTCTCTGCTTTCGTGAAAACAGAATTAGAGAAATAAATGCTTGAGCCAGGCGGGAGACAGTTTTGAGAAAATGGGAACGTGCTCCGTGGTGGTAGGAACAGGCTCGGCTGTCTTCCAGGCTTCGGACACTTGCTTTCATAAACTGGCGACCCTGGAGAGAATGGCAGGCATGCAAGTACAAATGTCGCAAGCACAAGCCATAATGAAAGCTGAGCTTGGATATTTGGGGCTTGAGCTAGCTCGGGGACAACGGGGATGCGAACTTCATTTGCTTCGGTGGTGGTTGTACGTAGCAGAAGGGTTTGGGCTGTCCTGTCGAGTGCTTTGTCCCATCAGCAGTTAATGCTGGTACAGCACTAGCAAGTGATGTCTGCTCCAAAGAAGTGAGCAGATGCTGCGCAAGCTGCGGATGTAAATTTTCCTGTAGTCACGGAGAGGAAGGAGCAGCAAGTCACAGTCAGACCGGTGTCTGGAAGTTCAGTCGGATGCGCTGCCATCCTAGAGCAGCGTAGGGACTTAATTATTTTGGCACAATTATCCGGGAGCTGCCTTGCCTGGCATCTGGGAAGGAGAGAAGCACACTACCTGTAGCAGTCTCCCCAGCCAGAGCCCGGGGGTTATAGATGCTGCTGGCCGCCAGCCTGAGGGGCCATGACTGCTGCAACCTTCGCCGCGGCTGGCTGCCAGAGCTGCCCCGTGAATTGGCTTCAGCTCTGCTGAAATTAATTACTCCTAAAAGGCACCGGCTTTGTCCAAGTCGGCGCTTAGCCGGGCTGTTGGAGCTGCAGGCTTCCCGGGGATCCCCGCGCAAGTGGCTTTTTCCCCGTAATGTCGGAAGATGTGCTGCAAACGAGAGGTTTTGGTGGACCGCGGGGCATTTTGCAGACCGGTTTTGGGGTGAAACCGCTGTGAAGATGCCCCGTGCTTCCACGTCGACTCCGGAGGGGAGCCCGGCCGGCCGGCACCGCCGCTCCCTCCGTGCCCCTTGGCCCGCAGCACTCCGCCGTCCTTGACATATCCCTCTCTTTTCCGCAGGGCAAGATGACTGGAATGGAACCAGGCCCTCCCTGAAGGCCCCGCCGGCCAGGCCAGTGAAGGGGGCCTACAGAGAGCACCCATACGGACGTTATTAAAAAACAAACATGAGGGAAAAATATCAGTTATGAGCAAACAGTTGTTACTGATTCTTGTATCTCCCGGGATTCCCGTTGCTTTACCCACACCAGACAAGTAATTGTCTAACTGTTTTTCTTCGTGGCCCTTTTTCTCCCACTCCATCCTCACCCTGCATTCTGGCTTCTGTACGTAGTATTTTAAAAATGAGTTAAATAGATTTAGAGGACCGACTTTAATTTTTTTTTTTTAAGTGTGTAGATGGCTTTTCTTTCTTTGTTGTTTAGATAAACACAACTGTACCTTTTTTAATAAAAAAAAGTTGAGTTAAAAATGTTAGTTTCAAAAGTGACATGCTTTGCTTAGCAGTTATGAAATTAAGGTTTTGTTAACCTTTTAAGTTTGTTTTTAAGGAACCCATAAAAGTTGTAGTTGCAGAATCCCAAAGTAGGCTACATTTCAAAATTCAGGGCTGTTTTTAAGAATTAAAATCATAATGTAACGGTAGTAGCTGCCACCGTTTAAAAGTAACCTCAGATGTCAAACTTTCCTTAAAAGCAGATTGCTGGTGAATCTTAAGTTTAAATTTTAATATTTTAAGTTTGGTTTTAAGGAACCCATAAAAGTTGTAGTTGCAGAATCCCAAAGTAGGCTACATTTCAAAATTCAGGGCTGTTTTTAAGAATTAAAATCATAATGTAACGGTAGTAGCTGCCACCGTTTAAAAGTAACCTCAGATGTCAAACTTTCCTTAAAAGCAGATTGCTGGTGAATCTTAAGTTTAAATTTTAATACGAAGGATCCTCAAACAAATTAAATAGCATTTTTTAAAGGTAATTGACTTAAAAGAAAAAAAATTAGGTTTGTAAAATTGACTTTTCTTATGTGGGTTTTGAAATCTAGCCCCGAACATGCGGTGTTGAGAGATGCTTGGGAAGCAGATTTTCCAGTGTAAAGGGGTTCTTAGTTTGGTTCTGTATGAAGAACTTTTAAGGGAAAAACAAACGAAAGCATGGCTCTAATTGCCCAGCGTTTGATATTAGAAAACAGAGTATTAAGTGAGTAGGCCTGAACTCTGTAAAATTACAGTCTTCTCATTTTTATAGTGCTTGGGGCAGATAACACAGTGCAAGTTTAAAACTGACAAAATTGTCAATATTAGCAATCCCATTGACTTGTTCAAGTGTATCTCAACACTAGCTTTGCATAAAAAGGGACACTGCAGCTGAAAAAATGAGGAAAAATTTCACTTTGTACATAGGATAAAGTCCTAATTGGATTTGTACACTGTCCTCCCACTCTGTTCTTGAAGATTAAATGCTACATGTGTAAGTCTGCCTAAATAGGTAGCTAAAACTTGTCAAAATGTCTGCCGCAGTTTGTCAATAAAGTTTAGTTCTTTTTTAATCAAAGTAAATGTGATGAATTGTCATTTTTTTGTTGAGCAATAAAATAGCTATTTTTTTTTCAAATAAATTTAAATTAATGCTAAAGCTAATTGTCTTTTTAAAACATGGAGACATTCTAAAAATGGTGTTTTTTGTAATTCTCACAAAAAGTTTATCAAGCTCATTGAACGAGCTTCATTTTTTTTAAAAACTGAAAGAAAAATTGTTTTTCACCCCCTGGAAGTTGTTGAAAGCAGTTTGATCCTGGACTACGGCAGAAATCTGCCTTCAGTCTGCTGGAAAGTGTTCATGGTTCTTTGCTGAGTTACTGATTCAGATTTCAGGTGGCCTCACAAGAGTATTCCAGACTGCAGACTCCAGATTGAGTCTGAAATGGCTGGTTTAAACGTAGCGTGACAAAATGAATGCTGAAAAATCCAAGGCTTAGCTGCCACCAGGAGGAGGAGGAAGCCTGCTTTCTGCTTTACGTAAACACCCCTAACCCCCTTGGCTACGATGATGCCCTTCCTACTTTACGGTAGCCTTTACTTGGAAAGCCACTTAAAAATGTGTCTTTGTTTGAGAAGGGTGCTGCAGTTGCTCCTCATATCCTTCTGAGAGGGTGTGTATGTGTATATATATAATATAATAGTTTAAATTAAACTGCTTCTTAGAGAGACATGAAAAATGGTTTGTATTTCCCATCTGCAAAATGAATCTGGCATTCTAGGGGGAGAGAATTAAACTGCTCGGGGGTGAAAAATAGAGCATTAGGAACCAAACTGCTTGTAGCAGTGCATGATTGAGGGGAATACTTTAAAACAAAAAGTTGTATTTGTAGATTGTTATTAAAGTGTAAATAACTGAATTTTCAACAATGGTTTGGAGTCAGCTTTCAGGGCATAATGTCTTGCTTGATGAAAAGATCACCCTATACCCCCCTTTTAAAGGAAAATTATCGCAGGAGAATCAGGATGTGTAAAGCTAACATGCATCGCAAAACCCAAAAGGTAACCTAAATGTCTGATTTTAATAGCACATTTCTCTTTTACATAAACTGTGACGGCAACTTGCATAAACTTTATTGAAACAATTCTTCAAATGTTAATTTTAATGTAAAAATTTGCAAAAAATGTTTAAAATAAACATTTAAAAAAAACCACATGCTTCTGCATAAATTAGCAATAACTTTAATAATGTGCCCTTTGAAAATGCACTGTAATGTAATGTGGGCAAAAAGGAATCGGCAAGCTTAAATATCAAAAGATGTAAAATGACAACGAATATAGATAGTCCTGCTACTGCCAAAAAAAAAAAATTCTGCTCAGTTATTTAAAAATGTAAAATGATGGCCCTTTTTAGACCCCAGTATTGATATTTACTGTGAAATGTTCAAAGCTCAGCTTAAGTTGCATGTTTTCCTTCCTGTGTAATTGCATGCAGGAATCTTTTTCTTTTGATTTGTGCTTACATTAAGGAGACTCACAATTGTCTTCAATTTGCAGGAGTCAAGAGTACGTCGCTATGAATCACTTGGGTGAAGAGGAGCAGGGGCAACACGAAGTGGGTAAGTTTGTTTATTTTTGCAACCCATTGCAAGCTGCTAACATGTTCCGTGTGGGAGGTGGGGGGCGGCACCATCTGAGCTGCTAAATTGAAGCCGTTCTTTATATACCCACAAATAAATGACTCTTGCAAAAGGCCAGTTACATGACTGCCACTCCTGCGGAGGTCATGGTGTGGAGGAGGCTTCAGTATGTACCTGCATAGAGCTCTCCCACCGAAATCCCGTGGAGAAGGAGGTTTAAGTGGATTTGAGGAGAGAGGGAAATGTGGTGAGGAGATCTGTCTCTCGGAGCTGGTTCCCGACTGAGATGCTGGCCTTCACGAGAGCGCTCTCAGCAGCAAGGTAGCGTTGAAGTTGTTGTTGCCCTGTGCTCTAGAAACAGAGCAGCCCAAGGAAGGGCTCAACAGGAATTCCGATATAAGTCCATAATGCATTAAAATTACAGGCTGCAGATTTTAGGCCAGATGCTGCCCAGCTAGACCTTGCTAGTTCTACCCCTCCCACACCCCCCGATGGGCTCTGAAATGTGATCTGCTGGCTGTTCTTTTGATGGCTTTTTGTCTGATGTCGTTGCCGGAGACGGCTCATGCAGTGGTCCTGCCGGCCTGGCTGGGACACGTTTAGCTCGGAGCCCCGCAGGGCTGCACGCCTGGTGTCAGCGAGTGAACACCCTGAGCCCTCGGGGTGGGGGTGGGGGGGTGATGGACCCCCCAGCACCTTTGGGTGCTGGTGCCGGTCAGCACCCGCGGTGGCCGGGCTCCCTCTGGCGGCTGCTCTGGCCCCACTGACTTGCTTGTTCTCCAATAAATACCTTAATAAATGCACGCAAGCGCTTGCAAACCGAGCGGTACCTTGGTTGGGGAGGTTATCACACATCAGTGGAGTGACCTGCTTACGCAGCAAGGACACCTCTCCCCCCAGGCCCAAAGGCAGCAGCCGTAAGCGTTTCCTTTGGGGACAGCTAATCCCTTTCTCTCAAATCTCGAGATCGCTGAAAGTCTGAGCTCTATAAATAAAAGAACAAAGAAATAAACCCTTGGAACGCTGAAGAAGTCTAATGGCTTCAAAAGACAACCGTGAAAAGCCCTGGGCATAGGACATAGAAGGACATAAGTTTTATTTTATGTGGAATTGTAAAGCTACCAAACGAGCTTCTCTTATCTTAGGAGTATTAGGAACAAGAAAGCGGTAGTGTGTGGAAATGCTGCAACAGAGTGAGATTACCCTCAGTTCTTTGACTTTTAACTTGAAAATTGGATCCCTGGTTTTCTGCTAGGGGAAATCATAACATGTCTGGATTTGTGGCCTGTTTATCGAATGCATCTTCATTTACAATGTAATTGGAACATCAATTTATATGGTGTTGTACCAATCTTTCCCATTTCTTTCTTAATAGGCACAGCTTTTATATCAAGTGGAAAAGATTTGATAGAGATCATCTATTATGATGCAGTTTTTTACCAGTAGAAGTGGATCTTGTGACACTGCCTTTGGAGTAATACAGCTTGCTTGTGCATTGCATTTGTTGCATGTTTATGTGAAAGATTTTAATGTTACGGAGGAATGTAAATCTTAACAATATTGAAAACAACTGTATATGCCAAAAGTATTTTGAAAACATGCCCTGCATCAAACATCTTCCTCCCTCTCATAGCATTACTACATTCAAATTTTAGCCTAGAGTCTGCAAAAGCTAATTTGAGATCCCAAAATAGCCATCAGCATCGGATGTGTCTCTCAAAGATGCTCTAATTAGCCAGACGTTCTGGGGGTGATAGAGGACTCACTGAAATTTGTGAGGGGTAGAGATTCCTTTGAGTGCTGAAGTCTGAGTCACCTAAATAACCTTCCCTTTTCTACTGACGTGTAGCCGCTGGCGGTAGTATTCTGCAGGCTGTGAGCTAACAAGCACCAGTGATCTTTCATCTCCTGATTTCCCCGAAGGACTAATCCGCATCTTATTATTTGTAGGATTTTGGTAAAGACCATAAACAAGATAAAGGCCCCCATTGTGCTTGGTACTGTGCAGCAGCAGTCACGTCTCCTCTGTGGAAGTGTTTCCCAACAATACTGTTCTTTTCAAGAGAAGCTTGGCTCTAGAAACATCCTCCTGCTGCAGAGCGCTCCGTGCCTCAGCAGTCCCATCTTCCCTGGCCCTTGCTCTCAGTGGCCCCAGCTTCTTCGGCCTCTAGTCCAGCCCTTTGGTATAAATTCTCAGGCTGGCCTTGCTTGGAGCTGGCATAAACCTGGACTTTACGCTTCCTCGGTGAGGTCTCACTGTGCATAGTGGTTCATAGTCAGTATCTTGGACAGCAACAGGAGTGTCAAACTGAGCTTCAGGAAAAACGCTCCAACTGGTATTGCAGAGATGTTCCCAGCAGCTTTTCCTGGAGGGAGACTGTCATACCCTGCCCATTCCTTACCCCTGGTTTCAAGTTGCTGTTCGGATTATTAAATAAAGCAAATGGCTACAAGCTTTATTGTATAACTTACCTATGGTATTTTTATGTTTAACTTAAAAAGCTGTGCTTTCGGTAAGGCTAAGACATTACCTTGATATGGCCCTCTGTAAAATTCCATATTTGGTAAGCCGGGTTTAAGAGCACAGCTGGATTCCCT